AAGCAGTTTTGAGTCATATTGGGGGCCGTTTGGGGGCCTCTTGGCGCATATGTTTGGGCCTCTTGGGGACGTGTTGGGGCCTCCTGGGGGCCTTTTGGGGCCTCCTGGGGCCTCTTGCGGACTTCACGAGATGGAGGAAAATATGGGAATCGCGATTCACATCGTTTTGGTTTTTTCCCTACCTAGGCTCTGCCTAGAAGGGTTCTTACTCTGTTGGCTTAAAGGGCCGGGCAGTGCTAAACGCCCCGGGCGGTTCCCCCAGGATCCGCCCCGCGGTTCCCCCAGTTGCGCCCCATGGGTTCACCCAGCTTAGCTTAGCTAAGCTTAGCTTAGCCTAGCTTAGCGTAGCTTAGCTTATCTCATCTTAGCTTAGTTTAGCGTTGCCTAGCCTAGCTTGACTTAGCTTAGCTTAGCTTAGCTTGGCTTAGCTTAGCTAAGCTTAGCTTGGCTTAGCTTAGCTTACCTTAGCGTAGCTTAGCTTAGCTTAGGTTGGTTTAGTTTAGCTTAGCTTAGCTTAGCCTAGCCTAGCTTAGCTTAGCATAGCTCAGCTTTCCTTAGCTTAGCGCAGCGCAGCGCAGCATAGCGCAGCGCAGCATTAGCACATCATAGCATAGCATAGCATAACATAGCATATCATAGCATAGCGCAACATAGCATAGCATAGCATGACATATCATAGCATAGCATTGCTTAGCATAGCACAACGCAGCAAAGCATATCATATTATAGAATAGCATACCCTAACCTAGCCTAGCCGAGCCCAGCATAGCATTGCGCAGCATAGCATAGCATAGCATAGCATAGCAGGGTAGAGCAGAGCAGAGCATAGCATAGCATAGCACAGCATCCACTATTGCTGCTGCTACTGTTGCTTTCCGAGAGGCTCCAACTCCTAGGTAGGGTCGCACTGGGATAATTCGTTAACCGTCTTGAGCCCTCTTGGGACCCAAGATGGTTATCTTGGGGACCTCATGGGGCTTATTGGGGCCTCTTTTGGGCATCTTGGGGACCTCTTGGGGCCTCCTGCGGGCATCGTAGGGCCTCCCGGGAAACTCTTGGGCGCAGCGCTGGGGTTGTCACTCAGGGCCCCTTTCTGTGACAACCCCTTGCTGTTTCTCGAGGGCCTGTTCGAAGCAGGTATGCGGCATCTTGGGGGCCGGTTTGGGGCCTCGTGGGGGTTTCTTGGGGCCTCCTGGGGACCTTTTGGGGCCTTATTGGGGGCCGGCGGGAGAGCCTTGGGAACCTCTTTGGGGCCTCTTGGGGACCTCCATTGTGCCTCGTTGGGGCCTCTTTGGGGCCTCTTTGGGGCCTCTTGGGGACCTCTTTGGGGCCTCCTGGGGGAGAGCCCTGGGGACCTCTTTGGGGCCTCTTTGGGGCCTCAGGAGGAGGAGCTACATTGTCCTGCGACGTCGTAGTGCGAGGCAGGCCAAGAAAGTCAATCCTCATACTTATCATGCAACGGCTGCTTCGCGAGGCTAGCTGAGTACAAGGCCCTCATCAAGATGCGCTCGATCATCGGAAGGGGGATGGCGTTGCCGATGATTGCATGGAACTGCCCCTCGCAAATGATATGCTTCCATCCCCGCACGCGCCATTCCTCGACACCCTGCAGTCGAAGCATCTCACCAGTAGTCATCTCGCGCTGAAGGCACGTCACCCAGTGGCCGTGCGACATAGCCCTGTTCCTGGTCAAGCACGGGGAATATCCGATCGCGTAATTCATCTTAGAAGAGCCATGGTCGACCACTGCAGGAACGGCAAGCGGGTCGCTACCGTCGGAGGCGATGGCCTTGAGTGCGTCCAAGACGTTCTTGCGTTTCGTGCCACTTGACTTACTTGGTAGGTTGCCCGGGAAAGGTTTGAGGTCCGTGGCGGGATCCATGAGGTCGATGAGGTTGCGCATCGTGACTGGGCCTGGCCACTGCAGGGGTGCTTGTTGAGCTCCACGTAGCACGCCGACAATGAATCTCCTCCGACGGTTCTGGGGCAAGCCGCCGTGGATGCGGCAGTTGAGGGTCTGCGACTCCACAGTGTAGAGGTAGCGGTTGTCCTTGTCCGTGAGTGTTTGGAGTGCTGACACGATAGCGTTGAAGCTGTCAGCGTTATCGCCAGCCGCAATGTTGTCCACGTTCTCCAGCAGGAAGAGCAAAGGTCTCCGCGTAGTGATGTAGGCAATGAGGAACACGATGATGAGCCCGAGCCCTCGGACATCCAGAAAGCCATCGCGGCGGCCTGCCACTGACCAGCATTGACAAGGGAAGCCTGCCATGAAGAATTGCACGGGAGCGGCGGAGCCAAGGAAGTTGGTGCCCATCACGTCGTCGAAGTATTCGTGGTAGCCGTGGAGGAACTCGGCGATCTTCTTCACGTGCTTGCTGTTGTCGCACGAGAAGGCGTGGTGGAAAGGGATCTTCATGGCTTCGAGGGCTAGGATCTCTGAGTTCCAGCCAGAGCACGCTGAGCCCACTGTTATGGGAGTTGTCCCATCCCAGGGCTCAGCAAAGCCCTTATCGTAGATTGACATGGTCTCGGTAACGATAGTTGTGATGGATGCAAGGATGGTGGTCATCAGCATGTCGATGGTTGGTCGGCACGTCCTGGCTGGTTTCTTCTTCACCTGCTTGACCTTGGTGGTCGGTGCTGCTGGGCGCTTCCTGGATGAGGCGTTCGCAGGTGGCCGCGGCGGGCCCGCCGGCGCCCCACCCGAGCACTCGTGGTCCATGGAAGCCTGTGTGGGCAGGTCGCTGCAGCAATGGCGCTTTGACACGGAAACCGGAACAGCTTTAGAACGTGTTACGGACATTGCCCAAGTAGGCGACCGAAGGCGAGCCTTGGAGCTCGCACTTGCTGTCGGATGCATCCGCTCACTCAGGCGAGGCGCGGCATGGGACAGCATGAGGCCCCAAGAGGACCCCCAGGGGCGCCACTCCTGAAGGCCAAAAAAAGAGCAGACCCAAGAGGACCCAAGGTTCCCAAGGCGTATGAGATTGAGGGCCCCGACAAGGCCCTATCGAAGAGGTCCCCAAGAGGTTCCAAGAGAGGCCCACGAGGAATCCAGTGAACAATCTAAGAACCCGTTGAAAAACATAGGGGAGGATTAACCCATTGATATCCCTAAGGGAGAACTTGAACTAGCAACGTATTGAAGGCGTAATTCGCGGAGCAAGTGTCTCATCATCCTCCGTCCTCCTCTTCCTCCTCCTCCTCCTCCTCCTCCTCCTCCTCCTCCTCCTCCCCCGTCTCCTCATCCTCATCATCCGTCTCTTCCTTCTCCGTCGTCGTCCTTCTCATCCTCATCCCTCCTCCCTCCGTATCATCCTCCTCCTCATCCTCCTCCTCCTCCTCCTCCTCCCTCCTTATCATCATCATACGTCCACCACTGCATCATCGCCCTCATCATTGGTAACCCCTGTAACCCCGACTGAAAGCCACTGGAGCTCTGTGGAGAAGGGGGGGGGTATTATCCCCCCCCCGCTCCACTGTCATGGACGTCCGAGGCTGCGGAAAACGCTCCCCCAGGAAGGACGTCCGAGACTGCGGAGAAATTGTGTAATGATTGATTCAGTGTGCGAGCTGTGTGGAAACGCTTGCTTGATTTTAACACCCGTTTCCACAGCCTCGGACGTCCAAGAGGCCGGAGCGGGGGGGGGATAATATCCCCCCCCCGCTCCACAGTCTCGACGGTGTCCGACCATCCAGCGTCGTCGAAGGGGGAACGGCGGAGGGAGGGGGGGAGGGAGCGAGCAGGGAGGGAGGGAGGGATGGGGATGGAGGGTGGAGGGAGGGAGACGGAGGGGGTTGGGAGGAGGCGGAGGAGCAGGAGGAGGAGCAGGAGAAGGAGCAGGAGGAGGAGGAGGAGGAGGAGGAGGAGGAGGAGGAGGAGGAGGAGGAGCTATTGAGTAGGAAGTGGAGGAGTAGTAGCTACCATATAAACCCTACGAGCCCTATAACCCCTGTGAGCCCTGTAGGCCCTATAAGCCTTATAAGCCCCATAGGCCACATAAGCCCCATGCGCCCTATAAGCCGCATAAGCCATATAAGACCTATCGTCGGTGGGAACCACGGTTTGGCAGGGATCAGCACTCGGGCAAGTGGTGATCCCTACCAAAGGTTTTGTGTGATACGCCCCGTAAGCAGTAGACGCCTTGTAAGCCACATACGCCATATAAACACTCTAAGTCATGTAAGCCATAAATGCCATACAAGCCCCAGGCGCCCTGCAAGCCCAATAAGCCCTAAAAGCCTGATACGGCCTACAAGACATACGAGCCGTAAGAGCCAGATAAGCCCTATAAGCCATATGAGCCTTGAACGCCTTATAAGCCAAATGAGCTGTATAAGCCCTATAAGACCTGTAAGCCCGACAAACCCTATAAGCCCTATAGGCCCTATAGGCCCTATGAACCCTTTGGGCCCTATGAGCCCTATAAGCCGTATGAGGCCTACCAGACCGATGAGCCCTATGATCCTTGTGAGCCCTAACAGCCGCAGGAACCTCATGAGTCCCACAAGCCATGCACGCCCGATAAGCCTTTTAAGCCCTGTAACCCTTGTAAGCCCTTACATCATTATGAGCTATATAAGCCGTATCAGCCCGTAGAGGTAGAGGAGGAGGAGGAGCGGTAAAAGCATGAGAAGGAGGAGTCGGCGTTGGACGAGGATGAGGAGGATGAGGGATGGGGAATGGAGGAGTGGAGGAGGAGGGGGAGGAGGAGGAGGAGGAGGAGGAAGAGGAGGAGGAGGAGGAGGAGGAGGAGGGCCACGGCGGTATATCATGCGCGGCTGATGCTTCCCCACATCGCGCGCAAAAGCGCGCCAGTATGCAGTGAAACTCGCACTGCTGATACATCAATACTCGTTCGCCCTCGCTATCACCGACGAAGATGCACCTAGACTCCACATGCACCAATCGTGCTCTTGCTTAGCACGGGCCGCCGGCAGAAAGCGAGGAACTCACTTTTGACAAACACGTTTCGAAACTCATTGCCGCCCAGGACGGCCTTCTCCGGTGCAGTGACGACTGCGAGCACCTCCATCACCCTTTTTTGTTTCTCGAGTCTCTCGAACAACGTCAGAAACTCAAGTTCGGTCATCAATAGCTTCCACTTTCCCATGTTGGCTGCTCTGCGCACGATGTCGGCCAGTCGCGCCTCAGCAGCGCAGAAAGCAGCGGACAGCCAGATCCGCCGCGGCGTGGCCGTCGCAGCATTGTAGAAGATACTGGGCCCACGTTGCCCACCGCTAGCCAGGTACTCACGACTCACAGCCAAACCTCCGTTGAGCGCCAGAGCGAATGCGTCCATCTCCGCCAGTGCGCTCGGGTCGCGCACGACCAGGATCTCGCACTGCAAGGGATCATTCACGAAAGCTATGGTGTTCGGAATGCCCGCCGACAGCGCACCCGCTCTGTTGCAGACCCGCGCTCCGGCCAGCACAAGACCCACGCCAGGCTTAGCAAGAGTCTCTGCGAGCGTGGCTTTGGTCCGCGCCCGCTTCCTGTCGTTTGCCTGCTTTGTGGATTGACGCCCAGCTGCCTCGTCCATGAGATCAAATGTGATCTCGCTGGGAAGGAGAACACCGTCGAGCAAGGCGTCGGCTGCAGCGGCACGGTTCTTTTTGTGTTGTTTCGCCTCCTCGACGGCCAGAGACTCGCACCACGTGCCCTGGCCGTGCACGGACGCGTCGCCCATGACCGCGTCTAAGGACCTGAAGGTAGTAACGTCCGCGTCCACGGCAGCACGACGCTCAGTGATGAAAGTGGTTTCAGTCATATTGGCTGAAGCCGAGGCGGAAGAGTGCTTGCCGTGTGTATCCAAACGTTGGAGCCTGTCAGGCGTCGTACGAGGAATGCCGTATGTCTGTGCCCAGATCTTCTGCGCACTAGCGATGATCTCGTCAATGTTCTCCTTGGTGCCGTTGTTGAAGTCAAGGATGAACGTTTCGTCGACCTCGAGCTCGACGCTGCAGTGGTCGCGCTGGGAGTAGAAGTTCTGGCATTGCTGTGTGAACGTTTGCTCAATGCCAGACGTTGTTGTACCGCTGAAGCACAGGTATCGCTGCACGACTGGGGCCAATGCTGACGCCGGGTGCTGTCGCCTTGTATCAGCCCGCCCCTGCGTCCGCAGGAGGGCCAGTTGCCATGCGCCCATGTTGGTGTCCGCCTCCCGGAAAAGTAGGTGCCGTGCGATCGCCTCGTGGTCGAGAAACTCCGATTCGAGCCGTCCGACGTCCACGCGGAAGATGGATGCGAGGCGGTGCATAGCTTCGGCTCGCACATCCTGTTTGTCACCATAAAGTGCTTTGCTGCTCTTGCTGACGTCGAAGATATGAAAGGCGTTGAGCATTTGGAAAGAAGGGAACTCCGCTCGCAAAGTGTCGATGGCCACGCGCACGTAGTTGTTCATGCGGGCCAAGCACTTAGTGATCAGCTCCTGCCCGACCTTGCCCGTCCCGCCGATCGTCTTCGGCACGCCGCGCAGCCAGACTGTTCTCGGGCGTTCCAAGAGCTTGAGGACGTAAGCGCAGTAGCCGTACTCAGGGGCGTGCGCCTGGACGAACAGTAGTCGAGGTGGGCGACGAACGTTGCCAGGAGCGTCGCCACCCGGGAAGTATCGTGCTTCTCAGTATCCACATCTCTGACCATTTGTATTCCTTCGTCGCCGGCATCAGCACAAAGGGCAACGCAAATGAGAGCCTCTTCGTCTATGGCGAGCAAGAAATCGAGAGCGTAGAGCTCCTCAGCACTGCCCGCCCGATTAACTGCAACCCACTGCGCCACCATAATGACGGCGTCAAGGAAGAGGATCAGCCTGCCCAGCGGCTTTTGCATACTCTCGTAGCGGTGCTTCCTGTGGCGCATGTTCCGAATACGATCGCCACTCACTCGGTCCCCTTCAATCTCACGGCAAAACTTGTTGAACATGTCTTGAAGCTTGTGGCTCCATTGAATGCAATTTATCATGGAATGGTTATCCGTGAGCAATACTTTCATGGTCGCCTCGAGGTAGGGCTCTGCGCGCTGCGGCTTGCTCAGGATCCTGAGGGGGCAAGCGATCAAACCAGGGGAGAGGGGATAAGGATGCGGAAGAGGATGGGGGGGAGGAGGAGGCGGAGGAGGAGGCGGAGGAGGAGGAGGAGGAGGTGCAGGAGGAGGAGTCGGAGGAGGAGGAGGAGGAGCTGGAGGAGGACGAGGAAGAGAGGCAGGAACACTTGTGGGGACGGATCAGCTGGCAACTCGGCGTTGCGACCCTGACGGCGAAGATAGCCCCATCCTCGCTTCGCCCTCATACTCAGCATCTTCCTCCTCCTCCTCCTCCGACTCCCCATCTTCGTCCCCCGCCTCGCCCTCATACTCAGCTTCTTCTTCCTCCTCCTCCTCCTCCTTCTCCTCATCCTCCTCCTCCCTTCGCCCCCTTTCTCCTGCTGCTCCTCTTCCTCCTCCTCCTCCTCCTGGTTTAGTCACAGTGACCCGTGGTTAACTCACGAGCTGCGCCCCGTTGTTCTGGTTTTGTTCCTTACCTAGACTCTGCCTAGAAGGGTTCTTACCCTGTTGGCTTAAAGGGCCGGGCAGTGCTAAACGCCCCGGGCGGTTCCCCCAGGATCCGCCCCGCGGTTCCCCCAGTTGCGCCCCCTGGGTTCACCCAGCTTAGCCTAACTAAGCTTAGCTTAGCTTAGCTTAGCTTAGCTTAGCTTAGCTTAGCTTAGCTTAACTTAGCTTAGCTTAGTTTAGCTTATATCATGTTCGCTTAGCGTAGCTCAGCTTAGCTTTGCCTAGCCTAGCTGGGCGTAGCTAAGCTAAGCTAAGCTTAGCTTAGCTTAACTTAGCTTATATCATCTTAGCTTAGCTTAGCTTAGCTTAGCTTATCGTGGTTTAGCTTAGCTTAGCTTAGCTTAGCCTAGCCTAGCTTATCTTAGCTTAGCTTAGCATAGCCTGGTTTACCTTAGCTTAGCTTAACGCAGCGCAGCATAGCTCCGCGCAGCATTAGCACAGCATGTCGTAGCATAACATAGCCAAGCATAGCACAGCATAGCATAGCAGAGCATAGCTCAGCATAGCATAGCATATCATAGCGCAACGTAGCATATCATATCATGGCATTGCTTAGCATAGCACAGCGCAGCATAGCATATCATAGTATAGCATAGCATACCCTAGCCTAGCCTAGCCGAGCCCAGCATAGCATTGCGCAGCATAGCATAGCAGAGCAGAGCAGAGCAGAGCAGAGCAGAGCAGAGCATAGCACAGCATCCACTATTGCTGCTGCTAATGTTGCTTTCCTAGAGGCTCCGACTCCTAGGTACGGTCGCACTGGGATAATTTTTAAGCTGTCGGACCCCTGAATGGGCTTACGCGACCCGTTCGTGCTAAATCACGCGCAGAGCGGAGTCGGAGGAGGAGGAGGAGGAGAAGGAGGAGGAGGAGGAGGCAGCCGTTTCTGATGCCCGTCCTTCTCATGCCGTGGGTGAGGTCAGCCTGGATCACCATGATGTTAGGCATCGGAGCGTGGTAGGCATTGAGGACGGCCGCAGGCGTGCGTAGAGCCTCGCCGGCAGTTCGCTCGTCGGACGCAGCATCTGACACATACATCTCGCAAATCACCAGGAGGTGGTTGTAAAGTGCTTCGTCGAACTCCTCTCCTCCGCGCCCAGACCCTAGTCGTCTGGTGCAGAAACGTCGCAAGATCTGCTGGGTACCTCTCGCGATGTCAGCAGCGTCGCCCGCTGGCTGGTGGATGTGCCCGAGGTAGCCCTTCTGGAAGGTTAGCGAGGGCAGCGGCTGCGAAGCGCTGAATCGGATCAAGAGGCGAGGGGACCGAGCATCCTGCAGCAGCGCGAACGAAGTGGCCTTCTGGAGGAAGGCGCGCGTGTCCTCACGTATGGCCTCTGCGATGCACCACTCTGCGTTTCGAACCTTGCCCCTGCATCCGAAATTGATGACGCCGTCACGCAGTGAATGGTGTTGTTGCCTGGACTTGATCACAGAAAGGAACTCCTCCTTGCTAGGGGCACCAATCCTCTCAGCGACGGGTGCTCCGAAGAAACGGCCGTAGGCATCAGCGTGAACGACGGATTCAGCATGCCGTTTCAAGTGGCTGATCTGCAGCGTCGTAGGCGAGTCGATCTCGTACCGGCCCCAAGCAGTATCCGTGTGAAAAGCAGCGCAAAGGCGGCATCCCGCCTTGCCGTTGACCACCGTCAGCCAGAGACCGCTCTCCAAATCGGACGGGTCGATACACATGAAGTCCCGCTTGCGCCACCGGTGGGACAATTCCTTGAAAGTCGCCTCCACGCTGCGCTGTCTGGTTCTGCCCGTTTTCGTGTCCGTCGATTTCTCAGGCGTGGGTTCTGGGGCCGTCCACTTCGTCACAGTCTTCAGGGCTGCCGCTGGCGGCGGCTTATGCGGCGTCACGGGTGCATCGTCGAAGAAGCCACATTCGTGGTCCATGAAATAAGATGCAATCGTCGTGGTCAGTACAAAAGGCAAGGACTGCGAGCCAAAACGGCTACGGAGGAGGAGAGGGAGGATGAGGGGCCCCCGATTGGGTCCGTAGACATCCACGGGATCCTTTGTGCGACGCCCCACAAAGTTATCTAGTGGCCTTCGGCCCCTCGGATGCCTTTCGGGGGCTTCTTGGAGGCAGTTTTGAGGCATTTTGGGGGCTGCTTGGAGGTCTCTCAGGGCTTTCTGTTGGGCCTCTTGGGGGCCTCGTGGGGCATCGCGGGGGCCTCTTAGGGGTCTCTTGGAGGCCTCGTGGGGTCTCCTGGGGCCTTCTTGGAGCGGAGGTCTCGAATTGTCGGTTCGTGTTCCCCCTATTGGGCCCCTCTTGGGGCCATATTGGGGCCCTCGCAGGCCATCTTGGGCGCCTCCTGGGCTGTTTGGGAGCCCGTTTGGGCAGTTTTGGGGTCATCTTGAGGGCCTCTTGGGCCGTATTGGGGCGGTCTTTGGGGCCTCGTGGTCCGTCTTGGAACGTCAGAAGGTCAAAAAAACGAGAGCACCAAAAACATTGAAAACGCACAACGAGAACCTATGATGTTGGCCTCTTGGAGCCCTCTTGGAAGGCCTCTTGGAGCGCTCTTGGGGCCTCTTGAAGGCCTCTTGAGCAGTCTTGTGACATCTGGGGCGTCTTGGAGCGCTCTTGGGCCGTCTTGGAGGCCTCTTTGGCCCTCTTGGGCGATTCTTGGGGCCCTCTTGGCCCGTCTTGGGGCCCCGTGGCCTCTGGAAAATCCATGCGACCGACGAGCCCGGGAGCGCCCAGGAGCGCGCAAGAGCGCGCAGGATCGCCCAGGAAATTGGCACAGGACTCAGGACAGAGAACCCTTGAGAGCCTGAGGACACTCCCCTCGCGCCTTGCGCCACGGTGGCGGATTATTAATCCACGTGGGCCCACATGAGTCTGAGAGTGGCTAACGTGCGCTAGAGTTTTTTAAGAGGGCCCAGGATGGCTCCAATACGCCCCATATAAGCTAAGACGGCTTCAGAGATTGCTCAAGACAGCCCATGATGGCTCATGTCCTCCAACATGCATCCAAGAGGTTACATGCCAGTTCCAAGACGGCCTCAAAAGGCAGCGGAACATTACATGACGATTCCAGATGGGCCAACATCACTCGAAACTTTGAGGTGGGCTGTTGCGGGGTATTCGAACCGTCAACAATCACACAACGCGAAGCACCGTCAACAATCACACACCGCGAAGCGTCATGAATATTAAGACGCGAAGCGTCATGAATAGTCAATATTATGAAGCGGCCGAGCCTCAAGAACATGCAGGTGCGCGTGACCGCGACGCGAAGCGTCAGGTATCTCCAGAATGTTAAGAAGATCAATATACGAAGCGTGAATGATACCAAGAACATCGAGACACGAAAACGCTCCAGCACTCAATCTCCTGGCAAATCACCTAGGCACCGCTTCCGGATGGGCTGGCAGTTTTGAGGATGTACCAGTGTTGACATCACATATATACAACAATTTGTGGATACAGAGGGGCATCTGACATCAAAAATGCACGGGAGCATGGGAACCGGTGCGGGTTGAGATACACGGGGAGCCAAGTGAAATACCAGAGGGCCCATTGAAAAGTTTATGGAGCCTATTGAAATACGAAAGGAATCCGTCTTTATGGAGCCTTTATGGAGCCTATGTTTATGGAGCCTTTTTATGGAGCCTTTTATGAAGCCTGTTTTATTGATCCAATGAAATACCAAAGAGACCGACTCCAACACTCATAACCTTGCAATGGCTAAACTGCGTGTCTTGTGGACCAGTTCCGAGGCTGGGGGTACAACAATGACAAGCGTAATTGCATGATAACAAAAAGAGACACATCATGTTAAGGTCCACGGATGAGGAACGTTGCAATACAAAATCTGAGCGCCGTTGCGCATGGAATGTCTTAGAGATACAATGCACGCGGGCGCGATCGTGGCGCCGCGGCGCCAACGCCACAACTAGCAGAATGAATCTCCTAACCTAACTGCGATTGCGATTCCTCGAGGCCTAAGTTCTGCAAGCCTGAGAAGTAGTCGTCGTATCCACATGGGGGCAGCGAGTCGAGCTGCGTTTCCTCAAGCTGCTGCGGCTCCTGTGACAACGCATCGGGCGGCTGTGGGCTGCTGGGGGCCACGACCGCCTGCGTCTCAGCCAAGATGGCCGACTCGGCGCAGGGGTCTGGGAGCGCCGCTGGCAACGTCGGCGCCGTAGCCAACGCATCACCGGCGGGAGCGTCGCTCTTCGTCTCGGGGCCGTCGTCGATGTCAATGACCATCTGCTTTGCTGGCGGCTGCGCCGGCGCCGGCGCCTCGAGCAGCAAGCGGCGCGGCCAAGTACCCGCACTGCTGCTGCTGCTCTGCTGCCCTCCATCGCCCTTGTCGTAGCCGAAGGTCTGGCCCATCTCATTTGTCAGCGTCTGGCCCATCTCCTTCGTCGGCTTCTTGCACAGCCACCCGCTGCTGGGAGCAGGCATCGAAGATTTGACTGCGGCGAGAGCCTTCTTGTCTTTGGGGGGCTCCGTCGGCGCCGCCATGGCGCACTGCT